TTTTTAATTTTTTTTTTTTACTTCTAAGTTTTATGGTCCATAATACAACTTATATAATAAAATGACAAAATATCACTATTACATCCCATACTTTTTGCCCATCCTCCCCCCTCCTCCCCCTCCAAGTAAATTAGTACCCAGTATCCATAATGTGGAATATCTTATTAATAATTTCTCTAACTTCATTGTACCCCTTTTCAGCTTTAACTTTCTGAATCCAACAGCCCCATTTACCCCACCGAACCATTTTGTTTATTTGACCATTATATTTTGCTTTTCATTCCCTTAAATATTCAAATAAAAGATATTCTGAAATATAATATGACCAATTCCCACCCCCCCCAACATTATTTATTTTCCCATCCCATTGCTATTACAGCATGTGCTACCCTTACCATTTTTTAAATTATGTAGTCTTCTGTTTTATTCAATCTGATTTTTTTCAAATTCAGAGTTAAACAATTTTCCTTATCAAATTGAAAGTTTCTCCCCATTATTCTGTTTATCTCTTGTATAACATCTAACCAAAACTTTTGTACATGGGGCACTTCCACCACATTTGAATGTATATTCTTTTTGTCCACATCCATGCCAGAAATTTGGAGAAAGTTTTTTTATTTATCATTGCTATCTCATGTGGAGTTTTATACCATTTGCTAATTAGCTTTAATTGTTGTTCTATTACTTTTATATTTTTAATTTTAGTTATCTGAGAGAGCCAAAATGTTAGATTTCAGTGTTTTATCTTTAGTTCTTTCTCCCTTATACCCACCAGTCCTTCTTTTATACCAAATTGTTCCTCCAAAAGAAACTTGTAAACCTTTCCTATTAACCTCTTTTCTCTCCTAATCCTTTTTTGAGTATATCCTCAAACTGTGATGTATTGTCACTTATTCCTTTTATTTCTTGTAAAGTTCTACTTATTGACATTAACCGAAGCCAATATTTCTTGCTAAGTAGTTCAGTTAATTTTTCAATCCTAATGGGTTTCCCTTTTTCATCAAATAAGTCCCCTATAATTCTATATATTGTATCTTTTACTATCTTAATTACTCTTCCTAACTCTTGCTTTCCTCCTTTGTTTAGATATTTTAATGCGTATCATTTTAAATTTTAATACTTTTAGAACATATGTTCCATACATGTTGTATTGATAGAAAGGGGCCCTTCGTCACATCCACAATCTTCTTACTTGGTTGCCTTTGAAATATAGATGAAAAACCCATGTTATTCACATATTCTCAGTTCTAACCCATCTTTACCCCCTTCATATTTTAAATCTAATAATTTAACTCTCTGGGATGACTCAAAATATAATTCCAAAGATGGGACTCACCATCCTCCTTTTTCTTGATGTGAATAAATTAATGTTTTTGATACTCTAGATTTTTTTTCTTTCCCATTATCCATTCTTGAATACTCTTGTCCAATTTTCTAATCACCCTTAAAGGAATTATTTCTGAAACTGTTTTAAAAAAGATATAATAATTTTGGGAGCATCATCATTTTAAATACTCTTATTCTTGTGAGGATATTCCATTTTATGTGGCTATTCCCCCCCTCCCCAACTTGATTATAATTACCTTTTATTATATTATCCACATTAGTCAATTTCAATTCATTTATATTCTGTATTCTTCTTTGTTCTTGCCATTTAGTATTGAGAAACATTATGTCTGATTTCTTAATATTGACAAAAAGACAAATCTCAAGAGGCAAAAATCTTCCCTGAACCATCAATTTAAGAGCTGGAATCCAACTTTAGGTCACATTTGACCCAGTCTAGATCTAGCTCCTGATCCATAGAACTCTCTGCATGCTTTGTTTGAAATTCTCTAACGGCTTGGGAATCCAGGCAATCTATGTTATTTGGCTTCAGCATTGTTCACAATGCTGTATGTCAGCCCTGAGAAAAATAGCTGAGGCTTGTTTGTTTTTTTGTTCCTCATGGGTCTTCACTAGCATTCTCTCTTCTACTCTGATGCCAAGCTCATGCCTCCAAGGCCAGAGTACCCCTTGCATTTTTTCGACTAAACTGTCATGTTTCTGTGTTTTTCCCAGACCAGATCAGCTCTGCACACTTGAGATAACACATTATCAAACCTGTTAAAGCAGAGAACTGGGTTCCATTCACACAGTATATGAAGTCTATCAAGCAATCTGTGATTCCCATACCCATTGTGAGTAATGAAGTGTCAGTCTAAGAGAGGTGGGCATGTAATGAACCTGACATACTGGGCTGAATTAACCAAACAGTATCAAGTGAGTGCAAACTCTCTCATTTATACTGAGAAACCTTACAGCAAAATCTCATTGGCAAGGCTCTTCCTCTGCATGTATTCTGAACAAAACTTTGCTCTGGGGGCCATAATTAGCATCTTAGGGGGGTTGCAGACTGCCAGAAATAGTGCAAATTGAGTCCACTTTTAGGGTTAGGGTTAGTGCTAGGGAATAATGGGAATTGTGTGTTGTTTTTTTCTGGGACATTGAGCCTTCTCTGTCAGAGAGCTCTGGTGCCACAATAAAATACAGTCCCCATGATTCCCTAACCCTAACCCTAACCCTAAAAGTGGACTCAATTTGCACTATTTCTGGCAGTCTGCAACCCTCCTTAATCTCCACACATTCTCACTATGATTGTCATAAAAACAAGTTACTTCCAAATCACTGCTGGATGCCATATCCTTCAGGTATTTCTACATAATATAGTTCCAAAGAGTGCCAATTCATCTCCACTACAGCTACACTGTGCATAAAAAGAAATACTGGAGTTAAAGACAGTACATTTATTTGTATTGGGATTAGCTAACATGTACCCCCTGCTTTCATTCAAACTATCTGATTCATACATTTGTTTCCAGTTCAAGTTGAAGTAAACTGTAAATCAAATCTGAGCATTCAATGAACATTATGGTCCACACATCCAAAGGCTAAATCTGTCTATATACAAAATTTAAAAATATCAAATTAAGAGAGAATATCATACATCTATCAACATGGGTTATGTTTTCTGATACTGCATTATGTTAACTTGAAGCAGATGACAAGTCAACATGAAATTATCATTACAAAAAGTAAATAGTTTTTGGTGCTGTCTTCCTCTTGGAGCAAAGCTTTTTTTTTGTTTTTTAAAACTTTTCATGAATGCTTATAGTTATTCAAACAACCCTATAGATCCTGGGTAACTGATTTTCCCCCTCCATAATTTTGCAACATGAACCATATGTGATTTATATTCTTTTTTTAAAAAAATCTATTTCACAGCCTTTTGAGGTATAAATGTGGAAAAACACCTAGATGTGTTAATATGCACTGGAAACAAAGACCAACTATTTAGTTATATTTGCATAGCATCTCTTAGTACAACCCTCCCCCCAGCCCATTTTAGGAGGCCCACACTAAGAGGAAGTCCAAGGATGATGCCATTTCCATCACACTTCCACTAGCAAGTGAGGTTGTGACTAAGACATATGTCAAGAGTCCTGCTTCTGATTGTCACAGTCTTGCTTGCTGGTGGGAAGGTGGAAGTAACTGAAAGGATCTCTTTCACTTTCACCCATCAGGTGGATGTCTCTTAAGGTGGATTGGGGTGGCATTTATGTAGATCTTCATTACAACTGTGCCATCTTACTTAATATGGACTAGTTATGGATCCGTAACTCTAGGTTATGAACCCATAGCAACACACCAGCCATTGTTAGTCAACATTTTATAAATGAAATGCAAAGCATTTTGAAAAGGGCAGGAGGAATCTCACAAACAAAGTGAGATACATAAAGAGAAAGTAAACTGAAGTCTACAAAAGTTCATGCTGCCAATAGTCTCAAAGGTGCTACAAGATCAATTTACATACTGATTTTACAGACTAACGCAACTATATCTTTGAATTTTACCAAAGTGAGGCAAGTTTGTTCTCATATGCAAATTCATAATGTATGTGTGCATACTGGTATGGCTCCCTAGTATTGGATAGAGCTCCTATTATTCTCTGTTGGACAGTGAGTTTATTGGTCAGAAGCAGAGTTCCTTTCCAGCACAGTTAGGCAAAAGATCTTCACTTCAAAACTGAAACTAAGCCTGAGACATTCTGCTTGCAAATAGATGCATCTCTTCCCACTGAAGCTCTTTAAATACTCATCTCTATCCAATTCTTTATTATGCTGGTTGAAGACAGCAATGTGTTGCACTGAAGTTAGGTGAGCCTTTGCTGTAGTAAAATGAACAAAAACATTGCAAATCTCTCTTGAACTATATTTGAGTTTTCCTCAGAATAATTTGAAATTGTTCCTAGCTTCAAAATACGCATGATCTCAAAGGGTAGAAAATTTATATCACATATCTCAGGAGCAATCATGACATTTTAAATCTCTGTTCCTGATAGTCCTTTCCAGAAACAAATATTATTAATATTAAAGCTATCATGGATTGACTAATTATCCAGGAAAGATAACATTAGGCAATGAAGGGGAAAAATATATTGGCTTTTGCATTTAGGCCAGTGAGAATTGGGTTCAAATGCCAGCATATGTGTGTCTCATTTGTCCTCATTTCCCATCAGCAAAATGTGAAGGTAACAACATGTGGTTGGTTTGAAGTGGTACATTGTAGCTTTATGTTATTGTGTGCCTTCAAGATGTTTCTGACTTATGGTAACCCTAAAGCAAAGCTGACATGGATTTGTTCCCTCCCACCAAGTTTTGTTAAGAAGTGGTTTGCCTTTGCTTTTTTCTGGGGCTGAGAGTATGTGACTTGTCCAAGGTCACTCAGTGGTTTCCATGGCCAAACAAAGGTTTGATCCATGGTCTCTGGGGTTATAATCCAATGCTCAAAACACTACATCATTCTGGTTTTCTTACAGTTTTATATTGCAATAGAAATCATGATAACAGTTATTTGCTATTGATGGCTTACATCCAATTGTTAGTCCCAACTATAGCAATGGAATTCAATGGAAATTTGGTAAGTTGACATGTATTTAAGTCCCACTCATTCACAAAAGAGCCAGTGTGGCATAGTGGTTATAGTGTCAGACTAGGACCTGCAATACTGTGGTTCAACCCCACGCTAAGCCATAATGTCACTTAATGATGTAAGGTGTTTCACCCTAATCTACCTTACAGGGTTCTTGTGGGAATAACATTAGGGAAGTGGGCCTACTTTATTATTCTTGTTAAAAACAGACTAAATTAACTACAAATAAAACAATTTAAAATGAACCAATTAAAAAGGCAAAAGATAAAAATCAGTAGAACAGCACACTCTTGAAACCCACTGCAATTGGCTCCCAAAAACCTGTCAAAACAGAAAAGCCTGCAGCTTCTACACAAGGACAAGAAGAGAGAACTGTTCCAGCTTTCCCAGAAAAGGATTTCCAAAAATGAACAGCCACCAAAAAAGCCCTCCTTTGTGTTTCCAGCAGACGTCCCTGTGGAGATGGGGTGACTAAAACAAGAATCTCAGGGCTCACGCAAATTCACAGAGGAAGAATTGAGACTAACATTGGATTTAGAACCATTAATTCTACTCTTCTACTTTTCTTGGGGTTTTTTTTTCTTTCACATTATCAGGCAGATTTTTAAAGGCTTGCTTTTTTCAGTTATATGTCTCTAGACATTAGTCTAATGGGATGTTAAATATTCAGAGATGTGCATCTCTGGTCACCTTGGTAATTATTATTTTTTTCAAAGCAAAAAACAACAACAACAAAGAATAAGACACAATTGACAGAAATGAGCTCTCTCTGTGTCTCTCCACCTGACTTCAAACTAGAACCTTGGTGACTACAAGCCATCCATCCATCCATTCTTATTAATAGCATTAGACTGTTTTAGTTTCTGCAAATCTCATGGTTGCTCTTTTTGTTTTGATTTGATTATCCGCTTACAATGTGCTAAAGTGCTGGCATCCTTCCATGGAGCTTAAAAACGAGCTGGTGTAATTAAATGTGAAAATATGGGATAAAATATTCTCCGAGTGATTGTTCATTTCAATAAACTCCAGGCCTCTAATTAGTAGCAGCAGGAGTTATGAGACCCCTTAAAGCTTTGTGTGAACAACAAGCTCCCAGCCTGTATACTCCACTGTGTTTCCCCAAGCTGGAGCACTGCTAAATGTTGTCAACAGATCAACGGGGGTGAGGCGGGGGGGGGGGGGGGGGGGAGAGAAAATAACTCTAACTAAAGTGACAGTACTGAAGCAGCTTGCTCCTGAAAGCCTCTACCACTGGGCTGATAGGGTTATAGCAGCTGGCACCTTCCCTGCAGCTCTGAGGAAGACAGAGTTGTGGCCTTTTCCATCACACCCTACTCCCAGCCTCCCCTCTTAATGCACTATAGCCTCCTTGAAGAATTCCCCCAGAGGCCACACTACCACTGTTGGCTGCACTTATAGGTTGACTCAAGAGGTTAAATATGAATTGCATATTCTAAAATATTGGCAGATCTCAAACACTAATGATTTCTTGTTTCTGTGAGGTGACTGTAATATTACCAACAGGAACACAGGGGGGAAATAGCACAGCAGATTTACTGTAACTAAAGGGTCATATGCTGTTTGGTGCAGAAGGCAAGAAAGGTACCAAGCATCCTTCCTGCATCTTCCATAGCAATAGTAGGCATCTTTCAGGATCATATCATGTGCTGCTGAGAGTACAGGCTGATTGCTCTATATAGAGCAATTAATCTTAGATTATATGAAAGGCCTCAAGACATTAATGTGGTGTATTTTATATATGCTTTTAAAATGACAAATGGCTAGCTCTCTCTTAAAGGTATTTTATTTATTTATTCATTACAAAAAAAGGGGAAGTAAAGCACCTCACTTTTATGATCCATAAAATATTTCATCCAAAGTGGCTTGTCTTTGATATGTGCAATGGGGAATGTTATTCTCACTACCGTTTTCAGCCCCTAAATAAAAGTGTTACTTTGGTCCAAAACACACTGCAGAAATAATCCAGTTTGAGACCACTTTAACTGATCTGGCTTAATGCTAGGGAGTCCTGGGAGCTGTTGTTTTGTGAAATATTTAGCCTTCTCTGGCAGAGATCTGGTGCCACAACAAACAACAATTCCCAGGATTCCTTAGCACTGAGTCAGGGCAGTTAAAGCAGTCTCAAACTGGATTATTTCTGCAATGTGTTTTGGGCCTTTGTTGCTGTGTACAATGTCTCCATTAAGGTACAGACATATTATTTGGGAATCTGTTGAGCATCTGTACATCTTCTGCTGATTTTAGAATCTTTGGGTACTGTCATTTTTGCTTCTTCCACTTTGCTATGTGGGATGTCTTCACATAGTAAGATAAGCATAGCAAATTTAAGCAGATTTTTTTAAAAATTACATGCTCTGTGATTCTCAGTCTAGCTGAACTTTAAGGATGAGCTCAACAACAGAAAGGAAAGGAGAGTAGGCTCTATCTGCAAGAGCTTAGGAAAGTTACTTTTGGGGAAATAATGGGCCTCAGCAGACGGCTAATAGGGCCGTCTCCGAGACCCGGAAGAGGAGGAGCCACCGCATGAGCGGTGCTCCTTCCTCTTCCTGAGGTCGCCCTGGAAGCTGCCGGCCCTCTGCATGGCCGGCGCTTCCGGGGCAACCTCCCTCCACAGCGACCGGATGCGCTGCGGGGGATAAGTCAGGGAAAGTGCACCTGCCGCTTTTAATGTGCACTTTCCCTGTCTTGAGGGAGGAGCGCTGATTTAGCGCTCCTTCCAGAGCTGCCGCAGGAGCACCGGGATGCGGAGGCTGCAGCCCCGCGGCGCTCCATCCGGCGGCGGCTCCAGGGCCTCCGTCTGCTGAGGCCCAATAACTCCCAGACCTCTTCCAGTCTTTCCCAAGGCTTACCAACTGGATATTCCCCAGTTATGTAGCAAAACCTTGTGCAGAGGTAGAAATGGGCCCTTGCAAAAAAAAAATATTTAGTGTAGTGTATTTTCATCTTCTAGCAGGCAGTGATAGTCCCAATCATCTACACTGGTCTCCAGTCTTCCATTTCCTGTCATTTCCATTCCATCCCTAATCCCAATGTCATCATTTTTCTTTTTCATCTGACACTACAAATTCTGTGGTTGCTGACCATGCCCTGCCTTCACTGACCTGGATTTCTATTGGGGAGGGAGCCGGAGTGGGGTTGATTGCTCTCTCTCTCTCTCCCCTATGCAAAGGTTTAGATTCCCTTGAACTTGAACATCCTGAATCCCAGGGGCCTCTCAGCTTTGATTTCACTCATGTCAGCCCTCATCACTGGAGTTTGTTATGAGAAAGAGAGATTGTAGTATTGTGCATGAAGTATGGTGGGCTTAGTTACCATGAATAATATCAGAGAGAATCTCCTAGACTCAATGAGAATAATAAAGATGAAGACAGATTGCATCACCAACCTGAGCCTTTGTAGATGTCCATGTTAGCAAGGCGTGACAAGCAAAAAGGAGAGAAAATTATATATTCATTAGTTTTATTGCTCTAGGAGAATATTGAAAGAGTACATACTCTGCTTAAACTATTATGTCTATAATGGAAGGGTGGCATTTGATTCCTGAATTCTCCTTTCTTTTTTAAACAAAATGTCTAACCAGTGAATGAGTAACATTTTCAAATCTTCTTCCATATAACTTAACAGATTGTGAAAGTCAAAGTTGCTGTAAAGATAAGATGATGATCCCTACCATTTAAAAATATCAACTATTCTAGGTTCTGATTCTTGCAGTTACAGACATTTCATCTGGGTCCCTCACTCTCTCTCCTTTTGTGAGTGACAAACACCTAAATATATAGGCAAGAGTCCATCAGTATACTCATACTAGATCCCATTGCATCCACTTGTCCCATCTGTAACCCCCCACCATACAGTGGCATCACTGAGGTTGGTGACATATGGTGCTGGTCTCAGAAAGGATTGTGGGGGAGAGGTAGATTGCCCTGCCCTACCCTTTCTCCTGCTGCCTCGCTCACCTCACTCCCCCTAGATGGATGGGTGTTGTTCAGTCAGACTGCTGCGGCATCTGGACAACCCCTTAAGCACACAGCAGCCATGCCAAACTCTGAAATAACTATCCCCCCTAGCAGTTGCTGCTGCTGAGAAGGGCAGCACTGTGGCTTCCAGACAGCCCGTGCAGGATCTAGTGCAGCAGCCATGCCAAACTCTGAAGGAAAGGCACCACTGCCCCCAGTCAGCAGTGGCCTGGAGGGCCTGCTCAGGGTCTGGCAAGCTACTTGCCCAGCAGCCACACCAGACTCTGAATGGAAGACACTGTCCCTGTCCTGCTGCTGAATAGAGTGGCACTGTGGCTTCCAGAGGGTCCATGGGGGGGGGGGGTCTGTTGAGGCTGGTGGGAAAGTCACCCAGTGTGGTCTGCACTCCCACACTCAACCTAGTGATGCCTCTGCCCCCATACACTCTAAAAACCTGTTCCAGCAGGCTAGAAAGCCCTCTAGTGCAAGGGGCTTAAGGCACCACAGATTACTGACTACTGAAGGGGAGGAATAGGAAGTTCTAATTCTGTAGATATAATTTACTAAAGTATAGCACTGGATCTTGGCCATAGATGCACATGTATAGGTAGATAGATATCAGCAACTTCAGTGAGATGGCACTGGATTCTCATAAATTAAGCTACTGTTATTAAGAGTGAATTCATGAGAAGAAAATTACTTCAGATGCTTGAAATGAAACAGATGTCTGACAATACCTGTTGCAACTGTAAAAACGGTACAGTTTACAAAGATCTCATATTTTAAATACATGTAAAACAAATGTTGCAGCTATAGTCTTAAATTTCCTGAAAGTTCTACAACCTGAGTGAAATACTACTGGAACAGTGTGCAATATTAGATTGTCTGATCAACCCACTTTTGAAAATAATATGGAAAGCACCAAATCCCCATTCCAGTGTTCCTTAAGAGTCACATCGAGGACATCTTGCTAAAAATAATTCCCAAGATCTAATTTTGCTGCAGGATGCCGCATATCTCTTCTCACTCCAACCTTCTGAAATGCAACAGATAGTGGTACTACATAGAAATAAATTGCTGTATACAATGTTGTTTGTGTGAAGGGAACTTGTTGCAGCTTAGGT